GCGAATGCTGGCTGGGGAATTCTGGGAGTTGAAGTCAGGACATCTTCAAGTTGCCAAGGTTGAGAAACACAGTTCTAAGGTATTTTAAAAAGGTTCATCCACCCAGGCAAATGCAGCTTGTAAAAAAATCTGGATATGAATCTTGATAAGGTTATTTCGTGGAATCGAATGAAGACTTTATTTTGTTTGGTGTCTAACAGGCTCATGTGCTTTTAAAGAGTTCGTGCAAGCAGGTACAAAAAACGTATTTTTGAATACTGTGGTTCCTCTTGAATGTCCACAATGCAAATGCGATCTTGGTACTTGTTTTTGATAAGAATTTAGCAAAACGTTCTGGTTTTACAAATCGGGTGGAACAGGGATTTAAAAATGTGAGTGAAAAAGCGAAGTTGACAATTTCATCTACCCCTAATCGAGGACAGCAGCAGACTCAAAAGACAGCTCAATCTGCTTTCAGAGGAAAGCATTTGACCCAATTCATACTCCACCCAGAAAGTATGATCTCTCCAATACCTGTAATTACTGGTTCAATTTCATAATCATTAACTGTCACATGAATGGTGTGCTATGGAAGCTCTGTATCAATGTTCGAAGTGATTGCATTACTGAAGGTAATGTTCCATTATTTCTCTGGGCAAATATTTAAAAAAAAAAAAACATGGGAGCCTGCCATGCATACAAAAAAAAGATGGGCAGGAAATTAAAATAAAGACTTTATCTTTAAATTATGTCTTTCCTTTAAAAATAAAAAAGAGGTCTGTTAATGGGGAGGAAGAATAAGGGAGAAGGATAACTTAACTCCCAGCTTTGAATGCCGCCATTATTTAATGCCAAGTGATGCTTACGGAAGTTAACATTCTGACTCTTGTGTCACCCAAAACTGTTTTAATGGCAAAGCTATTATGCCAACTGAGAGCCAAAATATGCAATAAAGAGCTTCTAGTTTAAACAGAGAAACTACTTTTGACCTAGTGACACTTCCTGCCCACAAAGTGCAATTTTTAACTGCAGCCAAATCATTCAAACTTGGGGGGGGGGGGGAAGAGTTGAACCAGTGAAGCAAAAGGCAAGCACGTTCTGCTTCCGTTTGGCTTGGCGCGTGCTTCTCCCAGGCCCCTAAGAATGTGAAGTAGGAATCTTTGTTTGCTTTGCAAGACAATAAAACTGAAAGCAAACAAGGGTCCAGATTTGTCAATGCAATCTTGCACTGTACAGCTATGTCAGTCTGGCATTCTTCTAGCAAGAGCCAACAACACATGGTGTGTGTGCGTGTGTGACTAAGCCAATCACTGAAGGAGAAATACTTGTTTCTTCTTACCCTCCCCCTGCCACTTCTATTATTAAAATTACCCCTTGTTGCTATTTGTGTCAAAGGAAAGAAAAATTGATAGCTACCTGCTGGGTCATCGCTTCCTCTATAAGATAGCAAAAAGAATCAGAAAAATATAGCATGGTTCTAACAGTAATCAACTCAATTACAGGCAAACAAACCACATGATTTAGTCTGTATGCAGGGTGAACAAAGGTAGACAAACTTTTGTTAAAGCTACAATGAAGTTAACGGCTTGTGGTTTTGCACGTGCAAATTCGTTCATTCTCTTAGCATGATGTGTGCACCTATCAGCTTATAATATGATCGGTTGCAGCACTGCATAGTTTGGGGATACAACAGCTCGTGCTTAGTGTGCTACATAGGCCAGCTTTTGTGCATGATGATCCCTTGGAAAAATGAGGACTCTTCTATAGGATAATCCTATTGCTTCTAATAAAGGTTCTTGTTGCTTTTAACACTTAATTAAAGTAATACATGTTCTTTAGTGGGCTAGACATTGTTGCAAAGAATGTGAACAATTCTGGTACAGCCATTCTCAAGATGTAGAAGGGATGGCATAATGGGGGGGGGGTGTCAAAAAAGGAATCAGTCCCTTAGAATCTCTACGTAGCCTCAAACGGACCAAGTCCAACTTCTCCTCCCCTTGAATTCTGTCAACCCTTCTCTAGCACCAAAATAGCGTTGTTAGTTGAGTGGATTCCTGGCATGAGCAAAAAGAATGGCAACGGAGGTTCACGTGTGATCTTGGTCTTTTGCCCACGACACAAAACCATCTTAGAGGTTAAGCTTTCCAAGAAACCTGGTTCTCCCACAGCAACACCAACACTTGCAAAAATGTATCACAAGTCTTTTTATTTATCTGGACCGTAAGAATAAACTTCACGTATTGTATTTGCTAACAAATCATCAATGCTTTGATAATCAGGGTCATACAATGTATTATCATAATGTGGCTTGGTGGGGGGGATTCATGGGTCTAATCTGAGATTTCTTCAAAGCATGTTTAATAAAACCTAGCTTAGTATAACTTAGAGCCCAAGTTAGGGAAGTGTGAAAACTTCAGGTGGGCATTACACAATCCTAGAAAAGGGCTTTGACTGGTTTTGATCTCGTGTTCAACATGTGAACCGAGCATGCAATATGAACCCACACACTTTACAGGCCAACCATTGCTTCCAACTATCAACCACAAGCTCCAACCCCTTGTGACCAAATTTCAGATATGATGGAACTGTGGTGTAACAATAGCTGGCAGGTCTGGTCCCACCCACACTCCCCTTCCCTCCAAGGGAGCAACTGTTAATCCAATTCAAATCTTATTCCCCGTTGGGCCTGAGAATAAAAAACAATACAGGCAGATCAAGAACATAATAGAAATGGAGGGGATGAGACACACCCGTCTCCTATTTCCAGAATGGAGTTTCTGGGTAGCTTTTCTTCCTTTAAAAAAAAAAAAAAAACCTCACGGGATAAATGTAGCCTACCAGAATCACATAAAAAATACAGCCCCTCCTTTCACTGCAAGGATTGAGACTACCAAACCGAGCCTTGGTCCTGCTGTTTCCATCTTTTATTTGTAGAACTCGTGTTCCTGTTCGTCTTTCTTGATGACCGTTTTGTAGGCTTTTTCAAAGTCCTTGGCAAGGACAATGTAACGGTTCTCCCGTACTGCCAGCATCCCAGCCTAAAAGGAAGAACGAGAAAGATAAAAGGAGGCTGGGAAGAAGGGGAAATGTTTCAAAGCACCAACTACGAAGGGAGTGCTCACAATAAAAGAAAGAGAGGTGGAAAGACGCCGGGGAGCAATGCTCCAAGGCAAGTTCTCGTTCCGATTTATAATTCACACCATCCGGGCAAGACGTTCTGGGAACTGCAGCCCACTGTTAATTGCCCAAGGAAGCAGTAGCCTCCTTTAAATGGATGTCAACAGACTGTGGAGTATCCTAAAATTTGGATTCCTGCCCTGAAAACTGAAGTATGTTTGCACTCCCGAGCCTACTACAGCCACTGCAAATATAGACACATACAGATATCCATTTATTCAGAGGGTCCCTACTTTAATTCCCAGTTCCCAACTGGTTAGAAACCAAAACTAATATTGCTGTTTGCTGAATTTCAACCAGCAATCTTTCCATTTTACTTCCATAAATAATGCTTTGTTTCGCCTTCTTTTTTAATCCCGCATAAATGGAAATATCACCAATGTAGGGATGTCTGCTAAAATCCACCACAAGAATAAATCACAGTGAGATGGGTAAGATTATCAGATGTAACCCTGGCAAAGAAATTTAGTCCTCCTACAGAGTTTGCTGTAGAGGCAAGATCTAAACTCGTGACTCCAAGCTCCCAGCTTAAGTTCCTGGCTAGCAGCCTACACACATTCTCACACAGAAGTTGACCCAAGAGGAGCATGATTCACAGCTTAACATTTCATGCCTTTTTTTTAACCCTCTGAAGATTTCTCTCATTTCCCCAATCGTTAAGATAGCTAGACACGAATAAAGAGGAAGTGGGGCTGAAAACGGATGGCCATCTGCTCCTTTGGAGCAACGAACAAAAGCATACGAACCTCCTGGCAAATGGAGTTGATATCAGCTCCTGAGATCTTATCAGGTCGTGCTACATCTAGGAGGAGTGAAGGAAAGAGATAGAGAGAAAAGGCCCAACATGACCGTCCCACAA